TAAGTCCTTTTCATTTTAGATGTCAGCTGGCTTGTGAGGCCAAACTTCATGTTGCTTCTCTGTTTGTTGAGAGACACTGGAGATACTTATCAGGTGCAAATGATTCCCTAGAGCAAGGCTTCCTAACCCCTGGGCCATGGACCAATCCTGTTAGGAACTGGGCTGCACAGCAGAAGGTGAGTGGTGGGTGAGTATTACCACCTGAGCTCCACTCCTGTCAGATCAGCAGCATCACTAGATTCTCACAGGAGTGCAAACCATATTGTGAACTGCACATGCAAGGGATCTAGGTTGCACACTCCTTATGAGAATCTAATGCCTAATGATCTGAGGTGCAGCAGTTTCACCCCCAAATCACCCCCAACCCCCACAGTCTGTGGAAAAACTGTCTTCCGTGAAACCACTCCCTGGTGCTAAAAAGGTTGGGGACCACTGCCCTAGAGGACAGTGGTTATTGCTTTGTGATCACACAAGGCAATGGGTAGATTCTGTGTTTTACAGATGCCCTCAAAGTCACCTCTGACTTATCCGGAATGGGAACTATTGTTCTGGATGTGAATGGGGCCGTCTTCTTCCGAGAAAGGTGAGAAACCAGGGAACATGACGAGGGAGGGACCCACAGCTGGATTTTTTCTGGAAAAGAAAACTAGCCAGATACTGCCACCACTTCCTCTAGTCATAGAGCCTCTTTGTGTGGCCTTTTAGTGTCTTGACTTTGCCGGTGACCACTGAGAACACAGGCTCCAAAAGTGAAGGGGAAGCAGGGGGAATGGGGACCAGAAGAGAATAGAATTTCAGAGCTCAAAGGGAAGCTATAATCCCTTGTCCAACCCCCAACTGAGGAAGGAATCCTAGAGCACCTCTGAGATGGCTGCTCACACTCTGATTAATAGGCTACCTCCTGAGAAAGCCTATCCTGACCTCGGTCAGACCAGGCAAGCCTTTGGAAAACGAGCTCATTTTGAAGTGAAATCTATCTCTTTTAAATTGCACTCCTTGGTTTTCTGTCATTTTGGAGTGTTCTAGGCCAAAACTGTTTAATTTCACTTGGCAGTCCTCTGAAGAAAGTCCTCATGACTTACCTTACTTTTCTCCTCTGAACTAAATTTCCCCATTTCCTTCAGCTATTCCCTGAAGAATGTGTATTCCAGATGCAGAACACTCTTATTTGTATACACTGCAATTTTCTAAAACTTCTGTCCTATGGGCTAGAGAGCACCCACTTTTTGTCTGGTTCCTAGAATAAGAACAGTCTCTTATATAAGGAGTTGGGACTGGAGTAGGGGGTCTTATGATTGGTTCATTCACTGAGATGGGAAACAAGAACCTTCTTGTGAATGTGGCTGCCTAGACCATACCTAAATAGTGACTCCAAGGGTGCTTCCTGTGTGATACTTGACATACCTTAGCTCTGAGTTCACATAGAGAGGCCCTTTCAGAGATTTTAAATCTTCCCAGGCCCAGTGGCAATTCTAAGAGAATGAGAATTACCCCAAGCCCTCGAGCAATCAAAGAAGTCTCCTGGCCTTTCCCTATCCTGAAACACGAGACCAGAACACCCAACTGGTGGCTTGAATTGGGGTGGAGGGCACTGACTTCCTCTATATCCTCTTCCTGGTTCCTCCAGACAGGAGCAATTACACATTCCTCTGCTCCCAGAACTTTCTAGCCCCTTCTGAGCTAATACGGCTTCAAGCTGTAGCAAGAACTAGCAGACACAGAACACAGAGTCTGGCCCCAGAGGCTTATAAAAGAGAGAAAGAGACACCAAAGGCTGAAATCACTTCCTAGCATTTCCTTTCATCCCTTTCTGCACAGTCTGCTTCACTGAAACCACACCCTTTCTGTGAGACCCCCATCCCAGACCTCTCAGCTCTTTAGTAGCTGCTAAGCAGAGCACTAGATGTGGTCTTGAACATATGCATGACAGTCCCTGCCTGGCAGCTTACAGTCCACCATGGCACAGCCCAGGGTCGAGCCAATGAGGTCCAGAACAGGAGAGGTGTTAAATTGGCAGTAATTTATAGGCAGAACAGACTCAGAAGAATGAAGGCCCCAACATTTCACAGTGAATTAGTGGCAGGATCGGGGCTGGAATCCAGTTCTCTTGAATTCCAATCCAAAACTCTCTAATCCAACATATGTAAAATCGTTATGTGTGTATCTGTATTTATATTTACAGATGTATGCATATGCATGGATTTGTGGAAGGCTTTATTTCAACCATATTTTCCAAATTGAGTCTCACAATAATCCCATTTGACAGTTAAGGAAGCTCAGGTTTGATCACAAAGATAAATGGTAGCATCTGAATTCAGACCCTTACCTTCTAATTCCAGTTCCAATGTTCTTCCAATTACCTCACATTATTATTTGAGCTCAGTGGGCATTACCAAATCTTTCTTAAGGATCCCTGTAGAATGAAATTCTCTTTGTCCTTGTCCCTCTCCTACATTTTTTTTTTTTGAGACAAGAGTCTTGCTCTGTTGCCCAGGCTAGAGTGCAATGGTGTGATCTCAGCTCACTGCAACCTCTGCCTCCCAGGTTCAAGCAATTCTCCTGCCTTGGGCTCCCAAGTAGCTGGGATTACAGGTGCTCACCACCATACCTGGCTAATTTTTGTATTTTTTTTTGTACAGAAAGGGTTTCACCATGTTGGCCAGGCTCGTCTCAAACTTCTGACCTCAAGTAATCCCCCACCTCAGCCTCCCAAAGTGTTGGGATTACAGGTGTGAGCCACTGTGCCTGGCTGGTCTCCTACATTCTTAACAAAGTTGTAACACAACTCCTCACTAGTGTGGTGATGGCAAAAGTTGAACATACGGCATATCGCTGGCCAGTAGGAGTCAGTCCCTTCAGTCACTCTTAAGGATAGGTATAGAAAGACAGGGGTTAAGGTGTGGCCAGCTCCAAACAGCAGGGGAATCATCTTGGAGGCAGGGACATAGGGGAGGGGTAAACAGCTTTAGAGGCCTGCCTGCATCCTTGGTTGGAGGGAAAACAAGCTCATAAAAAAGTGCTACCCTTGACTATCATCTTCTGTTTCATCCTTTTGCCTTTTTGTAATTCTTAGCATGATTTTTTATCATAATCCTAACACATGTCTTGTTAACACATTATCTTAAAAGTCTGAAAACATTCCTCTTTGGAAGAACATTCTTAGGGAAAGCAATTGTATCCTTCCTCTTTCTCAACCAGCTAGATTTCTGAGTTGAGGAAAAGGAAGGTAATGGACATTTATTGAGCATTTACTATGTGTCAGGAACTTTACACAGATTACCTCATTTACTTTGCTCCACAAAAGAGGTTTCACAGATGAGGAAACTGATGCTCACAGAGATGACATAACTTGCCTAAAGACACACATCCAGCAAGTAACAGAGCAGGGATGGACACCTTGGCTTGTTAGACTATAGCATTTGGCCAGTCCCCTCCACACAGTGCACACAGTCTTCCTGACACTGGGCAGGCTCAGCTCCTAAGCTCTTCGGTTCCAGAGGACCCTAATGAGAGGACCCTAATCATTGCTGCAGAGTCAGCCCTTCTGTCAGAAATGGCTTTGCAGATCATTATTTAATGGCAGCAGGAGATTTAATGCACTCATGGTCCTCAGAAAATCACACCCAGAATGAGAGTTTTCAAGCTGCACAGGACCTTACCAAATATACAACAACCTTTGAAATCTGAATATTAGGAAACTGAGGCCAAAGGATTAGGATAAAATCATTTTCCCAGGTCATATGATTATTTACTGGCAAAGCTGGGACCAGAAGCAGGTCTCCTGCCTAGGATGAAGGCCAGGAATTCAGCACACTCATCATGAACTACTCAGAAGTGGAGAGAAAGGGGATAAAATACTCAATAGAGTCCTGCTGACATAGGTAGGACTGGGAAGAAAGAAAAGCAGACGCAATGTACATGTAGCCAGAAAAAAGAGCCAGCATGTGAACCGAGACTGAAAATGAAGATCTAGGGTGGGCTAAAGAGACTCAATAAGTGACTTCCCAGATTGTTTTTTGCTCCCATTGCAAATACAATTGGAAGCCAAATGCAAGCCACCAAGGTTGCAGTGAAACAGTGAATAATTATAGCACAAATATTTGTGGGCAGCTGTTGGAGTGCAAGCCACCTGCTCCAAGTTTACAGCTTTGTTAAACTTGGTAAACATTAAAAATGGAATAGGAATGCTTCCAGTCTGTGCAGCATCCCATACCCTTCCTGAGAGGCCTTACTGGGGGAGCTGGGGTGGCCTTGCCCTTGACCAGGCCCTGCTCACTGTCCTAGAGTTTTTCTGTTCGTAGAGATCCATGTGTCAATAGTCTCTAATAGAGACTGACAGAGGCAGGGAGTGTCACAGAATCATACATTTGTAGAGTTTAGAAGGGGCCACAGAGCCCTCAAACTAAAATCTTTGTCCTATTATTCAGATGAAGAAGCTGAGATGGAGCAGTGGTGTGTTCAAGTTATAAAGTTTGGGGTAGGACAGACTCTTTACCTCTGAACTTTCGAGCACTAAACTCTCTGTTTAGTGCTCCTTCCTGTAAGCCCTGTGAGGTTAATAGATGGTAACAACAAGGGAGTCATAGCATTACAGAATGTTACAGCTGTGAGGGACATGGTTTTCAACTACCAGGATGTTTGGTTTCTACATGACCATGGGGCACTATTGGCATTTGGTGAGCAGCAGCCAAGGATGCTAAACAGCTTACAATGTGATAGTCGTGTATAAAGAAGAGTTATCTCGCTCAAATACCAAGAGCACCCTTGTTGAGAAATACTTTCTCCACCATTTGACTTTACAATTGAGGGATCTAAGATAGGGAGGGGCTTGAGCAGGTTTCCAAAAGGAGTCAGCAGTCACCTGACCCCAGACCACTCTTTGTCCTACTCCATCCCACTGAGCCCTTGAAAGAATTAGTAGCAATCTGGGTGTCTTCAGCTCCCCCCTCCCTCAGCTCCTGCTGCACTTACTCCCGAGCTATTTTCAGGTTGGCACGTACTTGGACTTTAGGCCCTCCTGCCCATAGGGCTGCAGCAGGTACTGGTGAACGAGCTTGTCTCTGAGAGTCCCAGCCAGCTTGATTTTCTTTCTTGATCGATGCAAGTTGATGATAAAAAGTGTAATGGACCCACGAACATAGTTGTGGCTGAGATCCAGAGAAAGAGAGAAGTGAAAGATGGAAACAGAGTGGTAAGTTAGATGCTCCTAAATAATTTACAGACTACAAAATATGAACAGCCCAGAAAATGGCACTTAAAAACTTGGCCACCATAGACCCTAAAAGACAGGAAGGCCTCGTCATTGTGGTTTCTTGCAAAGATGATAGCCACTTCCCGCCATACTTCTTTTGTTTTTGTTTAAATTTATTGCAATGATTTTAGAAAATATAATGTATATATTTTATGGCATATATTACCATAGTATGGAAATAAAACATGCTGATTGCAAAAAAGGAAAAATACTGAGAAACACAAAGAAGAAAAAGAAAATTCCCCATAACCCTCATATCTTGAGATATGATAATATTTTGGCAAACATCCTTCCAGTATTTTTTAATTTATTAATTTGACAAATATTTATTGAGTACTTTGACACATTATTACTCAGTTTTTACAAAACTGGAATCACATTATTCACAGAGTTTTTTTCCATTAATGAACATCTTAAACATATTCCCATGTGATTCTTTTTCTACTTGTAGAAGAATCCTAAACTTTTCAATCATAGAAGTGTAACATAATTTATTTAACTAATCCCCTACATTTGCAGTTCAAACAACTCATGTTTGAACATTTTTGCAATTATAAATTATGTCATGTGTATAAACTTTTTGATTATTTCTGAGGGATAAAGTCCTAGATGCTGGAATCATTAGTCCAAGGGACATGTGTGTTGTACGATTCCTCACCAAATTTTCCAGTTCATTCCCAGTGGTGCACCTCCCTGTGGGAAGATTTTTTCTTCCTGCCCTACTGAGTGATCACGTGATTTGCTTTGTCCAATGAAATGTGAGTGGACATGGTAAAACCTCTAGGCAGCAGCTTTAGGACTCAGTCCATCTTTTGCCATGTTTCATTTCCCTCTGCCAGAAGACTGACAATGTTCTTGACAAAGGCTGAATGAAAATGATGTGGGCAGAGGTACCGTTGAGCCATGATGGACAAGTAGTGTGAATGAGAAATACATTTTCTTATTGAAAGCCATGGAGATTTGGGGGTTATTCATTATTGCAGCATAATCTAACCTATCCTGACAGATGCACACATTTTGATGACATTGATATTAACTTTCTAGAAAGCTTTCACTAATTTTGCTCCCACCTACTCTGTATGAGAGCACCTATTTACTCATACCCCTAAAAACACTTCCAACGTGCTCTTTTAAAATACCTTTGTCAACCTGAGGGGTGAAAATGGGATTTCAATGTTGTATTAATTTGTATTTTTAAAAATTAATACTGACATGCAGCATTTTTTCATTTACCATTTCATTTCTTCTTTTGTAAGCTGACCATGTCTCTCTCCTTCCTTCCTTCCTTCCTTCTCCTTCCTTCCTTCCTTGCTTCTTTCCTTCCTTCCTTCCTTCTCTCTCTCTCTCTCTCTTTCTCTCTTTCTTTCTTTTCTCTGTCACCTAGGCTGGAGTGCAGTGGTATGATCTTGGCTCACTGCAACCTCCGCCTCCCGGGTTCAGGCAATTCTGCCTCAGCCTCCCTGGTAGGTGAGATTACAGGCATGCGCCACCATGCCCAGCTGATTTTTGTATTTTTAGTAGAGACAGGGTTTCACCATGTTGGCCAGGCTGGTCTCGAACTCCTGACCTCAAGTGATAGCCTGCCTCGGCCTCCCAAGATGCTGGGATTACAGGCATTAGACACTGTGCCCGGACACCTTTGCCTATTTTTCTGCTGATTTATAAAAACAATTTATTTATTAAAGAGCAGTCTTTTGTCTGCAAAATTTCCCTCAGTTTTCTTTGACCATTTCATTTTATTTACCTTGTATTTTAATATATAAAAGTTAAAAAACTTTTATGTAGTCAAATTTTATCTTTCTGATTTCTTCTTTTGCTGTTTTACCTACCTCAAGATTATAAAACTATTCACCATTTTGGAATTCTTTTAAATGAGCATAAGACGTTCAGAAGTCTGAGAGAACTATATGCCTACATGCATAAGCCCTTCAGCATGTATTAGGAAAACTATAATGATTTCCTTCTCTCTGTGGGAAAAAATACTTTGTTTCTAAGGGGTCCCTTAGGGCCCCATCTGGATGAGTTAATGAGAGGAAACAAAAAAATGACCCAGCCCCACCTTCAAAGGAGGAGTTCAGAGAAACTCTAAGTCAACTTTGCCCAGAGGAAAGCATCATTCCTTGTAGAAATAACACCCCTCCATCCTGGGTCACTCACCTCTGCTTCTAAAGGTGCTAATTAAGAGTTGAGTGACCAAGGACAGGTGGGTATGGTGACATGGAGTCTTTTATTTTTGTTTTTGTTTTTGTTTTTGTTTAGAAGCACAGTTTCCAGGGCTCTTCCCTGGAGATTTTGATTCAATCTATTTGGGATTAGGGACTGGGAATCTCTACTTAAAAAAATCTTTCTGGGATATTTGGCAGATGAATTGGGTTTGGGAACCACTTGCTTAGAACAATTCATTAAGATTATGAGAAGAGCTACCGAAGTATATCCTGCTGGCTGTGTGTCAGAGGATTTTTCTTGCATCTGCAGGAGGGTACATTATTGTGTTCAAGGCTTTTGGATGCCTGCATTTGTGCTGTGATAAATTATTAGAACGACTCTTCCATCCAGTTCCTCCTCCTCCAGTCCTTCTTAATCCCCTGCAACATGCGAACTAGCTTTTGTAGCTAAATGAGTTAGGTCAGAAGAGAATGCCAGTTGATTTAAGCATACTTGTGTCCCCAGAACTCTGAAGAAGGATGCTGGCAGCCTGAATCAGTGTTGACCATCATTAAAGAAGAACATCGACTCTTTCCCATTGGTGGGGTTTCAGCTTAGCTTAGCTATCTGTAAAACTGAGGAAGACACCATTAATTGCAGGACCTCTAGGCTTCAGAGTGGGAGCAAAATACATGTGGACGGGTATCAATTTTGCCAGACTGCAGTAAACTCTTTTGCTAGCTACCATCAAACAACACTCTCAAAGGCCAGCAATGGAGGAGGAGAGAGCCACGTGCTTGCATTTATGAGTTTCTCCTCTGCAGAGCTGGGGCAGAATGAGCCCTTAGAGACTGCAGAAGAGAAGGTGGGATGTGGGGAAGTGGTGGGTGGGAGGGAGACCTGAAATCACAGCACTGCTGCAGGGAAAGCTGTCTTTTTCAAGCTGTTTGGCAGTGGTCTGATTTCCACTTACATAGTTCCCCTGGGGAAGACAAACCAGTACAGCCCAAAGACCTACATATAGAGGCTCTCAGAACTCACAGCACCTTCTCAGGTAGGTGTTGGCATTAAAGACTGCCTCAGCCATCCCTCTCCCTGCTTGGCTTATGGGCAAGGACATTAAGCGAGGCCTTTTTGCTGCAAAGACACATTCTTGGCTGGGGAGTGCAGCACCAACCTGAAAGTAGTGTGTTGCGAATCCAAATTCCTGAGAAACATATATTCTCTGACCATAGAAAAATAATCTTGGAGAAAATGGTGTCTGAAGGCTTGGCCTGCAAGCATTTGCTGGCCTTCTGATGTTGTCAAGTCCAGGTGGCTTTTGGTTATCTTAGTGAATGTTCCTTTCAGGAGAGGAGTTGTCTGAGAGGATCATTTATCTTGCCCCATGTCTCACTCATGGGTAAGATTTTTTTTTTTTTTTTACCAGCAGAGAATCCATGTATCTGGAGTTCATTTTTTCTGGCTGTTCTTTTCCTGCCTGACATTTCTCTGTGTTGCCATGGGAGGAGGGGGAAGTGAATCAGGGAAGGGAGGCTGAAATTGGAATATCCTAATGTAAGAGGTGGGGAATGTCAAATGGGGAGGTACATCTTGACTTCCAGATAGAAAACAGTCATGTTCTAGAAATGTCTCCAGTGAAGCTGGGAGGCTGGGAAAGGGAAGGGAGGATGATGCTTTGCAGTCCACGGTCATTCCCACTGAAAGTCAATGTGCTTGAAACTGGGTTGATCCATTGTCTCCAAATCTAATTCAAAGGTTTTGGGTTCGGTAAAAGCCAGGCCATGTTTTGCCAAACATTTTTTCCCTTAATTTCAAAGCCCCTGTGTATTTTAAGGGAAATTTAATCCACATGTTTCTGATTCATTTACACTTAACTCATCAAAATATTGTTTTGTAAGAGCCATTTGATGTCCAAGAAGCCTCAGGAACCATTTTTATGAGTCTTTAAAAAAACTTCTTCTGAAAAACAGGAAGTCATGTTTTGCCAATAATAAACGAACTTGAACCCCAAAAGGCTTAATTTTGCTTCAACATCCACCAGGTTCCAATTGGTTCTGAACTTGGCGAAGGACCTCATCTCCACCCCAGAAACATACATTGTCTCAGCAGAATGGCTCATAAAAAGAGGCTTCCTTGTCAAAACTTGATTGTTCTCTGAGCAAGAAGATCGAGGGTGAGAACTGCCATTCTATCAGTGTCCTAATTTGTTAATTCCAGAACAGAAAACAGAAAAGCACCTGCTGGTGGTGGTATAAGGGTCTAACTTTTTCTCCTAAATCAATCATAAGAGACAGCGCTCTACAAGGTCAGAAATGACCCACAATGCAAGGGGCTGCTGTGACAGGCAGTGTCCACGTAGGGGTTGCGTGACTGTCAGGGAGATGTGAAACGGATTCCTGTGTTGAACAGGCACTGGGCCGTATGATTTCTAAGGGCTCTTTCCAAATGTAGCATTCTTTGCATTATTAATGCTGCTATTTGCATGTAGGTGTGATACCGTAGAACCTCTGAAATTCAATAAAATAAGTGCAAATATCTGGAAAGATGCTTGTCACACAGCAAGTATTCAATACACACTGGAGTGCAGGGGTTGTTGTTTTAATAGACGCTTTCTCTGGATGATTCTACTCATAAGTTTATACCTTCTCTTCCAATCCCTGTTTTGACGTGGGGCAAATATTTTCAGAGTATTCGTCAAGGTTGAATAGTGTGAATCTACCATGCCCACTCTAGGATAATTCTGTGATTTTGGCCTATTGGCCACAGATAAATGACTCAGCAGTGCTTCCTTAATGGCACATGATTTCTCAGAGAGGTGAATAGATACTACTTCTACCTTTGAGCTACCCTAGCTGGACACTGACACAGAGGAGCCCTGAAACCTCAGCTAGCTCCGTGCATTCACTGTGGGTTTTCTTTAGGAATCTAATAGGAACAAAAACACCTTCACCCCAATTATTATCATTAGGGTCATATGTAGAATGGATTATGAAAGTCTTTTCTTTCTGTCTCTTTAACAGGGAGTGAGAGAGGTTGTACTGATAGAAGCACAGTGACACCGTTTCTCTAGAGAGATTCTGAAGTGACTGCATAGAAATTAGAGGAGAGCTGGTGGTGTAGACAGAGTCTTGAATGCAGAAGATTTCAGTAACTTGTTTGAGGTCTCATACTAGGGAATGGTAGAATCCCCATCATACCATTTCCTTTTGGCTGATGTGGTAATATCAAAGGGGAAGAAAGCTCTAACTCTAAATCAACGGTAACATCTTGATGCCCAATTTCTGCATTCATTCATTCATTTGCAAACCTTTCCTGGGATCTTCATGCCAGTCACTACATTAGACACCAAGAATACAAAATGAATGAGACACTGGCCCTGAGTTCACAGTACACTCAGAATATTAATAACAACTTCCCATGAGAATGTTAAAGAATGAGGATGAACACTCGAATGAGATTATGTGAGGAGGCTTCTATGAAGAGACGCAAACCCTGCTAAGCCCATGGCTGCAGATAATTTTTTCCCCGAGTCCTCAGACTAGTAGTATAAAGGCCACAGACTGATATGCTTTCCAACAGGGATATAAGGTGTCAAGAGTAATTTTTCTATCTTGAGTCTGGGGGTCCACCTTTTGGGTGGTTACCTCAGGGCCAGGGCAGAGACAAGGAATACAATGTTTCCTTGTGTGATGATCAGATAACTCCAGGCCAAGGCCATAAAGCAGTCACTCTCTGTCAGGTATTGGATTGAGCTTCCTGTTGAGCAAAAGGCATGTTGAAAGCCTCTGGCCTCTGCCCAAGCCAGCCTCCCCTCATTTACAATAGGCACTTGTATCTACTGACAAGACAACTGGCCCCTGTCCCTGCTCTGCTCAGAGTGATTCTTTGAAAAGTCTTATCATGATAAATTAATTGGCTTGGCTCCTCTCTCATCAAGGAAGGAGAAGGAGCATCTGTTGTAACCTGACCACTCCAAGCTCTTTGTACTAGCTACTCCCCTTGATCAGCTCCCGATAGGCCTGGGCTGGAATGAAGGTCTGGCTGGAGGTACTTGCTTACCATTCCCTGCCCCATTATCCCCCCACCAGGTTTTCTTTGCATTAAGAGAAAGAGAAATAATTCTCTTTTCCAGGGCAGCCTACTCTGCCTTAAACAGGAAGTGATGTAAGAAAGTCATATTTGGCCAGATGGATTTTGCTTTAGGCACCCCCCTCTCTCCAATTTAAAGTTTTCCCTTATGGTCTTAATGTGTTAAATTTTTTTGTCTGCCAAACTTTATTTATTGATAATTAATTTTCCTGTTTGTTTTAAAGACAACTGTAATGACAACCAGTGCTTCAGATCAAAAAGAGAAGGATAACCCCACACTACCACATTCGGTTGTTATAAGTCCAGAGCCCTCAGAAAAGGAAGCCCAGATTTCACTTAGCCTCTTAATTTTTAAAATAGCTGAAAAGATTTTCAAAACACTGGAAATGGCTCTAAAGCTGGCATGACCACCTCTGGGCACTCCATTAGTTCTGGGGACACCCAGCTTGAGATGCATTGGTCTAGGGCTAGGTTTCTAGTGGCATATCTCTCCAGCATGCATCTTAAAAAGGGAGATTTCTTTTCTTTTCTTTTTTTTTTTTTTGAGACAGAGTCTGGCTCTGTTGCCCAGGCTGGAGTGCAGTGGCCAGATCTCAGCTCACTGCAAGCCCCGCCTCCCGGGTTCACGCCATTCTCCTGCCTCAGCCTCCCAAGTAGCTGGAAGTACAGGCGCCCGCCACCTCGCCCGGCTAATTTTTTTCGTATTTTAGTAGAGACGGGGTTTCACCGTGTTAGCCAGGATGGTCTCGATCTCCTGACCTCGTGATCCGCCCGTCTCGGCCTCCCAAAGTGCTGGGATTACAGGCTTGAGCCACCGCGCCCAGCCGGGAGATTTATTTTCTTAAGCTTTGCTGGTGGATCATAGGAAAAGATTTTACACCTCTTGACTTGGCTGAAGCTTAGGCACACAAAAAAGCCTCATGGGCATTACAACAACTGGCACAGAGAAAATGCCCAATAAAAATGTGTTGGATGAATAAGTAAATGAACAAATGGCAAGAATTTTAGGATCCTTTTATGATTAATCCTCTAAGTATGAGAAGGGAGCGTTTACTTGGAGTAAAAGCTATTTACCAGAAATTATTTGAAACCTGCAAAGAGCAGGTATGGTGATTCCAGCGGCAAAAGGTTTTCGATAAGATTAGTGAATGGACATGAGTCTTGAAGGGGTCCCAAATGGAACGGGGTGGGAGCCCCTCGGGTGGCCTTTCTGTGCCATCTCTCTGACGACTTACTTGTGGTGGTTTGTGCAGTGAGCATAAATCCTCAGTTTGTCCCGGATCACTCGGCCAGGCCGTGGCTTCCGCTGGAGCCCAGCCACATGCACAGCCAAGACTTTGGGGCCAATCAGGCGCTTGTAGAGGAGAGACAGCCAGTAGTCCTGAGGAGAATAGAGAGGGAGAGGGTCAGGGAGAGACCACATGCTCAGGTGTTCTGAGTAAACATTACACACACACACACACGGGCCAGAAATCACTTCCTACCGGGAGTAAAGTGAGTCATGACCAACGCAGCCCGAAGCCTACAAGCATGGTCAGCCCCATGAAACACGAACCTGGGTTGATAATGAAGTGGACACTGTCTAAAGCGGCCTTTCAACTAAACTGGGATGTGTAAGTGGAGTTGACCTACAGCAGCATATGAACAAATGAATCAAGGATTTTCATATATTATGAAATAAAACCATTTGAGACTTTACATTTTCTACTTTCTTTTTCTATGACTTTACTTTTATAGTGGTTTATGATTTCTGTTTAATTATGGAATAGACTATTTCCATTCCTTAGAATTGTTACTAACATGATCATCCAAACTATCATCCTCCAAATATTGTCGCTGAAGACTACTAGTGCAGTGGGACTGAGGTGAAGCTTCTCCACATAGGAGACCAGAGTCCTTGATTCCAGAGTCCGAAAGGCAAACAGAAAAATGTTTGCAACCAGGGTGCTAATTCTTGGTTATCCTCAACAATTTGACAATAGAAAGTGTCATTCTAAACTAAAAAGAATGTGATGCTTTAACCATTCTATGAACCATGTGTAATGGATTTAAAAATATCCAATCTGTGGCACACATTTATATGAGCTTACAAAAGCCCACCTTAATTTCTGTTGTATTTGCTATCATCATATTTTGTGTTTGCATCTGATATAAATATAAAATTTACATTTCTGTTGTGCAAGTTCTTACCAACTATTGTGAGGTAATGACTTCAGTGTTTATAACTCACTGTATAAAATAGGGCTTCCTAATAACATTTAGGACCCCCCTACCCCACTCAAATTCCTGAATTCAGTGAATATACTATTCAGTGCATACTCTTCAATGCCTTAAAGACATCAATCGTGTTTTATTAGCATTCATCTTTTCAGGCAGAAGCCTTCTGATAATCTTTTTTTTTTTGTCTTGTTTGGTCATTTATAGTATCAGCTGCTTAAAAACATCTGACGAACTGCATAAATCAGAACGAAGTCTCCAAGCCCCTTTGCTACTAGAATGGCTCCAAATCTGCCCTGAGTAGTGTGCTCTAAGCCATGCACAACGATTTACTTTAATTTTAAGTGGCCTTAGGATGGCTGTTAAATATGGTCTCCTAATATTAAAAAAGGCAAATAGTCATTATCAATTATATAGATGGAAAAAGTGTTATGGGTTTAATATGCTCAAATTTGGTTATAATTTCTGTGTTTTTGATGATTACTTTATGAAGTGGTTACCACACTCCAAGGGGATTTCCACCTTTTTCTTACTGACTTGCAATGTACTTTCTTTTAAATAATAAAAGTAAAAAACTGTAAGTTAGCTATGATTAGCTTACTATTTTCTCAGTAATAGTAAGATATAATCCTCTGAAATAATAATAGGGATTATTATTCTCATTTTACAGACATGCGGACGTTTCAAGGTATATCTCAGGTCACAAAACTAGTGAATAGTAGACCCTGAAAGCAAATAGGGATCTATTTGCCTCCAATGGCTGTATAACACTTTCCTTCATGCTGTGAAGTACAAAGTCATATTACATAAAGACACAAGGCAGCTGAAAAACAAAGAATTCAACCTAGAGAGTGGGTACAGAATCTGGAAGGGATCCTTAGTTTTTATATAGAGGTTGCCAAAATTTAGTTTCTGATTTTTACACTCACAAAGCATTTAGAAGTCAAGAAGAGCAAAAACACAAAACACTTCCGTTTCTCCAATTTCGATTCACTACAGTTCGTTCCCATTTTTCTTATCCTTCATTCCAATGTCTTATCACAAACACCCCTGTTTTTATTTAGGTAATTTGAAAAATCTAAACAGGCTTGCTCTCAAACTTGCATTTGGGTATAGCCATTATCTTTGTGTTACAACGATTTTCACTTAATGTGAGACACGTTTGTAACAGCAAGCCACTCACATTTAGAAAAAAAGAGACATTGTTTATTATGTTTAATTCTCAATAATTATGTAGAGATAAAAAATAAACTTGTATAATATAATCCCCACCATAACTGAGTGGCAAACTTTAGATTTATTAACTTGAAACCTGTCTGCTTTTCAGTAGGAGATAGCTAAATGCCATGCCATCCTCTAAAAAAGGAGACGAGGATACCTGGGTAAAACTCTAAAGAGGTTTGGGGTAGATATATAAAAGAAGTTGATAAGGTTAATTCCTAATGACCAACATTCTTTCCCAATTTTTTTTTTTACTGTGGTGAGATCCGCATAACATAAAATTTATCATCTCAACCATTTTTAAGTGTACAGTTCAGTGGTATTACGTAAATTCATAATGTTGTATAACCATCACCACTGTCCATCTCTATAACTTGTCATCTTGTAAAACTGAAACTCTGTACCCATTAAACATTAACTCTTCATCCCTCCTCCCCCAGCCTCTGGCAACCATCATTCCACGTTCTGCCTCTCTGACTATTCTAAGTACCTCATCTAAATTAACTCATAGTATTTGTCTTTTTGTGACTGGCTTATTTCCCTTAGCATAATGTCCTCAAGGTTCATCCATGTTGTAGCATATGTCAGAATTTTCTTCTTTTGTAAGGCTGAATAATAATAATGGAATATTATTTGTGGCATTTGTATACCACATTTGAACTTAATTTGCAGCCTAACACATGGACTTATCCTGCAAAATGTCCCATATGAAATGAGAAAAAATGTGTATGCTATTGTTGCTGGGTAAAGTGTTTGGTGTGTCTGTTAGATATAGTTGGTTTATTGTGTTGTTTAACTCCTCTACTTCCTTACTTCTGTCTTGTTTTTCTTATCATTATTGAGGATGGGATATTGAAGTCTTCAACTGTTATTGCAGAAGTATCTGTTTCTCTTTCAGTTCTGGTAACTTTCACTTCATATTTTTGTGATCTGTAATTAGGTGTGTAAACATAATTGCTATATATTATTGCTGTATTGAACCTTGTATTAATATATAATGTCCTTCTTTGTCTCTTATAATCTTTGAAAATTTAAAATCTATTTTGTCTGATATTAGTAAAGCTGCCTCTGCTCTCATTTGGTTACTATTTTTATGGAATATATTTTTCCATCCTTTCAATCTTTTTGTGTTTTTGGGTCTAAAGTGAATCTCTGTGTAGACAGCATACAGTTGGATCCTGTTTTACTTTTAAAATCCTTTCTGGCAACCTCTGTCCTTTGACTGGAGAGTTTAATCAATTTACATTTAAAGTAACTACTGATAAGGAGGGACATCTGTCATTTTGCTGTTTTCTATATGTTATAGCTTTTTTGTCCCTCATTTCCGATATCACTGTCTTCTTTTGTGTTTAGTGATTTTTTTAGTGAAATGTTTAAATTCCTTTCTCATTACCTTTTATGCATACTCTATAACTATTTTCTTTGTGGTTACTTTGGTATTACATTTAACATCCTAATTATAACACTCTAATTTGCATTTATACCAGCTTAACTTTAACAACATACAAAAACTCTGCTCCTTTACAGCTCTGTCCTCACCCTTCTCAATTGTCTGAAATGATTGTTCTCCGGTACTGTAAAGAAATAGCACTTGAACATAAATTTAATTTTTTTAGTAAGACCATTTTTATTTCCTGCAGAAAGGGCACACTTGCCAGCAGTTTTGCCACAAGAGTACACCGAACAAAGGAGACAGGGTCATTTATAACCTGAAGCATCCACCCTACTGCTGTGTCTGGTTTCCATTGGCTGCAACGGGACCTCACATTCTGTATTTGTCTGGTTTGGCTAGCAACTTAGAATTTTTTAAAAGAGGCAAAGGTAGAGGAGAACAAAGGAAGGAGGAAGTAACTTGTGGAATGCTGAGAAAGATAAAAACACTTTTAAATAAGGAAGAGGAACAGGTTATGACCTAGTGCTTGCTTGGACCAGTATAAGCATGCCAGGGCAAATATTTAGGCTAAATTGTGGGAGCTAAGAACATAAAGCACATTGATTTCTTTATTACAGCCAGCAGATATTTAAGAATGTTAGCACAGGTCTTTGAATAAATTTTGCTTTTAGGAGAAGTTACTGTTTATTCCTAAGTAGATGGGGAGGAAAGTCTTTGAAGAGGAACCTCTATTTTACTTTTTATATCAATGGTTGATGTCACAAAATTACATCTTGATACACTGTGTGTCCCCAAAACATAAACTGATAATTCTTTTAAATACATTATTCTCTTAAATTATGTGGAAACAAAAATTGGAGTTACAAACCAAAGTAATAATAACACTAGCTTTTAGACTAATAATTGTTTTTAAAAGAGGTATTAGTCTGTTAAATCATGCAGAAAAAAAGGTAAAACCTATTGTCTTAAAAGGAGTTAAAACCTATTGTTACAATAATGCCAGCTTGTATATTGGCTCATATAATTAATATTTATTGAGATACTTATTTTTTCATACAACTTTGAATTACTATGTAGTATACTTTCATTGCAACATGCAGGACTCCCTTAAGCATTTTTTTGCAGAGCAAGTCTAGTCGTCACAAAATCTCTCAGCTTTTCTTTATTTGAGAATGTCTTAATTTCTCCCTTGCTTTTGAAGAAAAAGTTTTGATGGATATAGGATTCTTTGTTGACAGTTTTGTTTTTCTTTTTAGCACTTTGCATATATTGGTTCACTGCCTTCTGGCCTTCAAAGTTTCTGATGAGAAATCTACTGATAATCTTACTAAGAATTACTTATATTTGGCAATTGACTTCACTCATGCTGCTTTCAAGATTTGGTTTGGCCTTTAAAATCTGATTTAAAGTGTCTTGGTGTGGGTCTCTTTAGATTCATCTTATTTAGAATTCACTGAGCTTCTTGGATGTTTATATGCATGTTTTTTAAACCAAATTTGAGATGTTTTCAGCCATTGTTTATTGATTATTTTCTGTGCTCCTTTTTCTCT